ACTTAGCAGGTAATTGAATGGCAGGTTGATTTAGTGAGCCCCGTGGATTGTTGGCACTTCAGCCGGGCGCTCGAGATATGAGGGAGGCCGGAGAGCGCGAGAGTGCTGTTGGGACGTGTTGGACGGGCAAGTGGTTCGGGACATGGGGACAGTGTGGTGTGTGGGCAGTGATTGTGAGGAGTGGAAGGCGCACGCGGGCACGGTAGAGGGAGGTATGATCCGGCGAGGGAGAAGTGTAATCCCTCCGGAGTGTTCGGAGAGCATCAACTATATCCATCCTACTCCACATATAATATGTTCCATATATATATCTTAGATAATTCTCTTATCTATTATCATCAATATACTATACCACCATCACCACTCCATCACACCACACCACCACACATAAACATATATCTAGATACCTACTACCCTATATCCTATATACTACTACTATAAGTACATATATACTTATCTATATATTATAGATACGATAGATATGCATTAGACTTCAGATAGACTACGCATATAAGGATAGATAGATTAGATAGATAAATAGAACATAGAGAGATAGACAGATTAGATAGTCCTGTGTGGTGTTGTGTGGTGTCGCTCGCTGTGTGTGTGGTGCGTGTGTGTGTGTGTGTGTGTGGTGTGTGTGGTGTGTGTTGTGTGTGTGTGTGTGGTCGGTGTGTGTCGTATATGAACTATAACTACCTCTAATCATATATAAACCCTATACTGTTACTACTACTCACTATAACTATATACATTACTACTATTATTATTATATATATTATCAACTTATATACTTCCTTTACGTATCATATACCTATCTAATTCATATAACCCTATTATATACTTCTACACCAGTATATCTCCTATATATAAATATATAGTCATCCACTATATATATATATAATATATCCTTCTACTATACTACGTACTCATATACCTACTTCATCATATATCACTCCTATACCTACCTATATTATATATATACTATCACTATACCTATATAAATACATATATATATGTTACAACACACACATCAACCCACACACACAACACACACAACACACCACACCACATACACACAACCAACACATCCCACATCAACATATATACTTAATCATAAATTTATACTATTATATATATATAGTATATATATAGTAATAGTATATAGAATACATATACAGTATATATATATATATATATATTACAC